CTAACTCCACCGTTCGCATGGTTTCTGGGCTTTGTCTCGAGGCGGAAAAGTGCCGGCGGAGTTTGTTCTGTATGGAGCAATGCAAGACACACATATCGTTTGATCTGGGCTTTGTCTCGAGGCGGAAAAGTTCCGGCGGAATTTGTTCTGTATGGAGCAATGCTATGCACGCACACGCTTTCCGCACCATACGGGTACTGAGGTAGTGAGGACGCGTCAAGTGCTACATACGTGACGCAAAAAATCTCAACCACACGCAACTGGAATTTCACCTACTTTGGACACACACAAAGGTCTCCTGCCCGTGAAGGAAAGCCTCTGTGCTGATCAACAGATGGGTCCAGCAAAATCTAAGAGTGCTACACAGCAGTGCCGACAAAGGGCACAGGGGAAGAGCGCGCAGGGTGCAAAAAATCACTGGCCTGTGATGGGAGAGCACAAGTGAAAGGGCGCTACAGCTGGCCACTTTGTTGAATCTTGTGCGAAACTTGACGGGCGTTGTGGGACGAGAGGAAGCTTTGTTTTAGGTAGGTGTGAAAGGGGTGGGACGAGGTGAGATACAAGGGAAAAGGGACGCCCGCGCGACTTGTGTTAGGGCAGAAAGAGATTTTCTACACTCTTCAAATGATTTTGAGCGTACCTCGGTGAACCATGCCTACGAGAGATTTCGAGGTGGCAAAAAGTGAGCGGGTTTTGTTTCAAACTTTGAATGGCAAGACGGTGCACGCACGCCCGTATACGACGGCGATAGGATCGAGGAATATAGTACGCTTCCTCTTCTCCTACTCTACTCCCTCTCGTTGATTGATAAACACATATCTCCTGCATGTTACCTCTCTCTCTCTGTCCTCTTGAAAAAAGCACACTAGACACACCGCAAAGCACTTGCTCACCAGTTGTCACCGCTCAGCAGGAAATCCGCGTGCCTCTGTTCGTCTCATAGTGTCTCGTGTCGGTGAGGAAGAGTTGAGAGGGCACCAGCGAAGGAAATAAGTGGCAGATCGGGAAAGCATTGTGAAAGTAGGAGCTACGACAATTCAACACTCGGACATCCATAGCTGTGTCAGAAAACGGCCAATCGCCCGGAACGTATAAGGTTTTGGTAGTAAGGAAGAGCTCACCGACAACGACTTTGCAAAACCACACGTATAATGAGCCACGGAAGAAAACTATAAGCTGGTTCAGACACCTGCCTACTCACAGTGAGCTAGCTACAACCAGACGGAGGCGTGGTGTTTTCCTACGGGTCAACGCAGAGGTGGACGAAATATTGTTTGAGGAGGAATTCAGGTGCTCCAACTCAACAAAGGGGCAGCAAGCTTTCCGAGGCCAATAACTGTCCTGTGGTTTGATAGGCGCGTGCCCGTGCCGCCGCTTGCGCCTGCCGACTCTCACCCACTTTGCTTCCCACTGACACTGGCTTCTCGTTTCCCCTCCGCCGATCGGCAGCAGGCGAATCCAGAAATCATCCAAGCGCGTGAACCACCTGCGCAGAAGAGGGACAGGTGATGGGTGTAGGTATTCACGCGTGGCGTGCTTTTGGAGTACCTGTATGCGAGAGAGTGTGGAGAAACGGGGTATTGGTGGGCATCTGCCTGAAACAGCAGCGCCGAAAACGGCACACGAATAGTCCGTTAAACCCCGCGATAGGCGTGATGAAGAACCAGGACACCGTGGGCGTCGTTGGTCTTCTTAGTCCTCTGCTCCTCAACGACAAGAAGGGCCCTCACGGTTTTCGGCAGATCCAGCTGTCCGACCAGCAGCAACAACGAACGAGAGGGCACGGGCGCTCTCCGTGGCGCGTGTCTGCTGGGGCACCTGAAGGGAGACAAATAAAGAAACGAGAGATACAGGTCCGTGATGAAAGGGCGGGAAATATATTTATGGACATGATTCACATTCAATGAGCGATGGCGCAGGAACTAGAAGCCCAAAAACAGGCTAAGGCAAGATCCGAAGAGGGTGGAGCACGCAAAACGGGCTCGAAGAGTACGCTTTCTCTGATGTCCATACTACTCCACACGTGATTTCGTGCACGTGGTTGTTCTCTCTCGTCTACCCTCAATGTTCGAAATGTAAGTTCGGCGGGTAGAACAACCACTTGGAATGGTTGTGTCACAATGGCAAACGGAGAGTACTCACAGAGCACAACTTTGCAAAACGTGACTGCTTTCACGACGAGTTCTATACACACATTTGGAATCTACAAAAGCTGGGTGGTGTAGCAACAAAGCCTTTGCTACCACACCAAGACGCTCGAAGGCATTTTCACAGTGGTTGCGCGCACAGGTTTTCCCATCCAGAATCAGTATTGCTGGTTCTTGAAAAAACGCGTGAAAAGGTCGAGAACACAAACTGATACTGCCGATAGTACAATGGGAGCAGAAACAATTATTTTCCCAAGCTGGTTAGGTTCCCCTCACAGCAAAGCGGCAGAGAGCTTTTCGAGGTCACGGTAAGTCCAATGGTAATACAGACAGGCGCGTATCGTGCCACAGGTGAAACCACGCAACCCGAATCTCACCTGCTACGCTTTTACCGCACGAGATGCTCCGGGCGAAAAAGTGCGACCACCGCCGATCGGCACCAGATGGATCCCCGGACGATCCAAGCGCGCCAACCCAGCCTAATAAAAAAGGGGCACACGTCGTGAAGAGTGCGGGCAGTCACGTGTGGCGTGCTTCTCCAACATCTGCGGAGATAGCCGGAAAAAGGCAAGAAAAGGTTGGAAAATCACATACAAACTTACCGTCTGTCTCTCATCAGCGTAAAAAAAACAGATCGTAAAACTCCGGCAAGTGCACGATTGAGAACCTTGGCGCTGGAGTCTACATGCGCATGACTGATCTTCTTGTACTTTCTATGCTCTTCAACGAGACACACGGTCCCTGACAATAAGGGCTCTCACCGTTATCCTCCAATCAACAGCAGAACCGACCAGAGACTACAGGCTGAGGCATCTACGCAAAGAGGAAGACGGGAACGAGAGAGCGACAGAGCGAACGCGCAGGGGAAAAAATCAGAACCAGCAGGCGTAAGCAAAACCAGGAGGCAAAAAGCACGCGAAGAGCACGCACTCGCTGCTGCCTCTACCCCTATACTTGTGCTTTCTCTCTCTACGCGCGGTTGTTCTCTCTTGTCTTTCTACTCTCTCGGTCAGCAGATCCAGCAAGTCACCACTCGGAACGGATGGCGAGGAAATGGTCACATATTCGGAACGCATGTGCTTTCGACGGAGAGACCAGGCCCAATATATTCCCAACGAGCAGGAGTTAGGGTGGATTGTGCCACAAACGTGTCGCTGGAAAATATGAAACTACATAACCTCACCTGCTGTGCTTCCCACCGACACAAGACCTTCTTGTTCCCCGCGCCAAAAGAACGAGATACCCACCGATCAGCAGCATCTATCACCACAGTTCCAAGCGCAATCTAGCCGCGCCTAAAAGGGGCACGGGTGGTCGCGTGGCGTGCTTCCAAAGTACTGTGATATCGGGGGGGATGTGTGTGCGAAAGAGGCGCTATCGAGAAAGAGGGAGAGAGAGAGAGAGAGAGAGAGAGAAAGGGAGCGGGAGAAAGGGGGGAAGTAATGAGAGAAAACAATCACGGGATGAGATTGAAACGAGCGAGCGGAGGCAACACGCGACCTTTTGCGCATCTCTAGCCTTGCCCCGTATCACGCACCAGAGGGGGCACCTTCCTTCAAGGTCACTTTACTCCTCCAACACGCGCAGACCACCTTGGATCGCCGCTCCGTGAACAAGCAGGATTTGTCTCCTTCAACACAAGAGCTGCAAAAGTAAGGCGTTTGTTATTCGAATGCCGCTTCGGGTGAGCAGGGTTCAAAGATACAGTATCAGTATGGAGTTTGCACGAAAACACGGTTGGACAGAGAGGAATCATGGGATATGTGTAGAGCAACGATACCATTGAAGCAGGTCAACATAGTGCGACGCATTGGGTACAGCGGCGACGTAATAAAGGTGCACATCGTGCCACACGTGCCGCGCTGGAATATAAAACCGCAACTGAACAGGGGAACTTTAAACTTGCCTGCTCTGCCCACAAGGATCTCTGCCGATCAGCAGCGGATCCAAGAGCGCGATCTGGCCGCGCCGAAAAAGGGACAGGTCGCGCTGGCGTACTTCATGCGAAGGAGAGCGCGAAAAGGGTGGGAGAACGGGAGAGTTACCACAGAGAGAGAGAGAGAGAGAGAGAGAGAGAGAGAGAAAGAGAGTTGAATCTCAGTGGGATAAAAGTGGAATGGGCAAGCCGCGGCAACAACATGACCCAACCACACTAAGCCGATGGCTGTAGTACATTCAGCCTTGGCTAGGCTTACTCTGAACATCTGGTCCCTCTTGTTGCTCACGACTCCTGAATTCTCCATGAATAATACGCGCACAACACAAAAACAAGAAAGAGCCACAGCAGTTCAAATTTCGTGTTGCGGATGCCTGCCTACACGGGAATGCTGTGATACACTAAACAGGTACGAGGTCCGCATTCTCACGGAAAGGGTGCTCGAGATAAGTTTTGGGTTCCGTTCGCCCTTACACTTTGCACGAAGAGTCGAATCAGATACGTATCTGCAGGGCAGCGGCACACCTTCAACGCACCTTTCTGCGCTTTACCTACTACATCCTGAATCTAAGACCTCGAGTGACCTACATCAGCAGCATCGAGCATAAGCAGCATCAAATTGGAGCGGGACAAGTGACACATGAGCTTGATCCGCACCCTACTCCTGCTTCTTTGTGCCTTTCATCTCCGCTACACATGTTCATCCCGCAGCATCTTCGTAAACGATTAGGTCAAACACATACACACGCGCACGCACCAGTGTACCCCACAGAGAGGGAGTATTCACAGCTTCCATCGCTTCACGCCCCGTCGCATACCTTCCCTTCGCCGTGGATGTGTGCCGCTAGATGGGCAGAAGCAGAGAGAGGATGGATGTATGCGGCAGCACACAAAACGCGGCGGAATTACACACAGTGATGCCGACAGCGCCGACGGATGTACTGGGAGCGGTACTAGAGCACCGAAAGAGGGAAAGGGGAAGTGACGGGGTGGAGACAGAAGGCGCGAGAGGAGAAAGCGTGCGCGAGTGGGTAAAGGAGCGAGAGTGGTGCGGAGTGGTGTTGCAGAAGGTGAGAATCATCCGGGAGGCGTCTTGCCACACATCGCAACAATTGAACCTGGAGGGACCAGAGAGAGCATACATGCGGCTGTTTCTTTGTTCGTTTGTTACACCAGCAGATCGTTGGGCCAGCGCCGCATCTCCTGTTGGTCGACAGACCAGTCTTTCGATATGGAATGGAGAGGGAGGGTCAAACAGCTATGAGTGTTGAGTACATTTGTCGTACTTGCAGAACCTCTTCCATTGTCCTTTCGGCAAAAAGTTGTAGCAGCGACTCTTCGTCCGACTATTGATTTGTCGCCCGCACGCAAGCAGCACCGATCTTGCTCTCGTTCTTCAAACTAGATTTTAATGTATCGGGGAGGGAGAGGAAGAGAGCAAAATTCGAATAGCCATCATGTGTCGGACGGTGTGTCGCGCGGTCAAGGAGCACCGATCCCTCTCTCTCCCATCAAACCAACATTCTGTAGATGGACGAAAGAGAGAGAGCAAAGTTCCAACAGCCATGATGATGCGTCCGACGCTTGGTCGCACGCACCGATCTTCCTGTCGTTCTTCAAACAGTATTTTTGACACCGTGGAGAGGGAGAGAGCAAAGTTCGAACGCTGTGATGTGTCCGACGCTTGGTCGGGCGCCCAAGGAGCGCCAATGTTCCGTTCGCTCCATAAACCAGCAATTTTCAAATCTGGGAGAGGCAGAAACCAAGGTTCAAGTAGCCATGACGTGTCAAATGGTATGTCGCGCACGTGAGGGAGCATCGGTCCTGCTCTCGTTTCCAAACCAACTTTTTTTTATCGGGGAGAGGGAGAGAGCGAAGTTGAACACTGTGACGTCCCACGCTTGGTCGCGCAGGTAAGGATCGCCGATCGTGCTCTCGTTCCACCAACCAATTTTACAACGTCGGGGTGAGGGAAAGAGCACAGTTCAAACAGCCATGCCGTGTCTGACGCTTGGTCGCGCACACAAGAAACACCGATCTCTCTCTCCTTCCACGCACCAGCGATTTTCAAATCCAGGAGAGGCCGAGAGCAAAGTTCGAATAGCCATGATGTATCCGACGATTTGTGGCGCTCGCAAGAAGCACCAATCGTTCCCTTGTTCCACAAACCAGCATTTTTTGTAGTCGGGGAGGGGCAGAGTGCGAAGTTCGAGCATCCATGGTGTGTCCGACGCTTGGTCGCGCACGCAAGAAGCACCGATCCCTCTCTCGTTCTTCAAACCAGCTGTTCATATGTCAGAGAGGGAGAGAGAAAATTTCGAACACCATGACATCCCACGCTTTGTCTCGCGCGCCTCAGCACCGATTCTCCATTCGTTCCACAAACCAGCAATTTACAAAGGGCAGTGGCCAAAACAAGGTGCACCTTGTCAGAACATGGCCAAGATAAGGTGCAGGCTGGAACGGCACAAAACGTAGTACACCTGAGGCTGAATAGAGCCACATGATTGGTCGATATAGGGCCGCACCCTCCGCTGGNCTCTCTCTCTCTCTCTCTCTCTCTCTCTCTCTCTCTCTCTCTCTCTATCTATCTCTATCTCTCTCTCTCTCTCTCTCCCTCTCTCTCTCTCCTCTCTCTCTCTCTCTCTCTCCCTCCCCTAGAATAATGCGCACACACCACGAAAGCACCATGAGCGCCGGAAGCGCCGATTGGCCACCTGCACAACATCATCTCCCGCACCACTACGAAACTACAGCGGTAGACTAGAGTATTGGAGTATATTGCAGCGCTGTCCCTCTCCAAATTCGGGCCTACATTCGAGTGAGTGTATCTAGTACCAAGTGTACTCGCCAGGAGTGGACGGCGGTTTTTCCCGTTATTTTTCGTCTGTTTGTTTCCTTGATTTTGGGCTTGATTTTTGTCATCCACGCCGCTGTAAATCGGCAAGGAGGGAGAGAAAAGGGAAAGCGAAGGAACGGTGTGTGCGCATTATTCTAGGGGGGAGAGAGAGAGAGAGAGAGATCCTGCGGCCCCAAGAGTTCGTCCGCATATGCGCGTGCGTGGGCGTACGCGTCCACGTCACCGACGGGGTGTTGGCGGGAGGTCTGATATGCGTTGGTCGTTTGAGCGAACAGCTAGCTGGCGGTGGCCAAAACAAGGTGCCATCGTCGGCCCAACAAGGTGGCGTGGCGAGCGGAGTGGCCTCTGCAAGGTGCACCTTGCGAAAGAGCGGCCAGCGGAGGGTGCGGCCCTATATCGACCAATCATGTGGCTCTATTCAGCCTCAGGTGTACTACGTTTTGTGCCGTTCCAGCCTGCACCTTATCTTGGCCATGTTCTGACAAGGTGCACCTTGTTTTGGCCACTGCCCATTTACACATCTGCGACAGGCAGAAACCAAAGTTCAAATAGCCATGATGTGTCAAACGGTTTGTCGCGCACGCGAGAAGCACCGATAGCGCTCTCGTTTCACCGACTTGCATTTATCAAATCGGGGACAGGGAGAGAGCAAAGTCCGAGCAGCCATGATGTGCTAGACGCTTGGTCGCGCGCGCAAGGAAGCAGCGACCCTCTGTTCCGCAACAGCTTCTCATACGATGATCGAAACAGCCATGATATGTCCGACGATGTGCTGCGCACGCGAAGAACACCGATCGCGCTCTCGTTCCAGCAACCAGTACTTCTTAATTCGCGGAGAGGGAGAGAGTACAGCACTTCGAATAGCTATAATGTGTACGACGACGAGTCGCGTGCGCAAGGAGCACCTTTCCTCCGTTCTTTCTTCAAAGAGTGCGAATAGATAGGATCACGCCTCGCCGATTCCCCCCCCCATTTAGATGAGTACTGCAAATGAAGAAGACTCCACACTCCATGCCGATTTTGACTGTGCGGTTGCTCGATGATGGAGACGATTCGTACGCCGACGGATTGCTCCAAAGGAGGCCGTGTTTACCACCTTCTCAACCATGCCACGCAAAAAAAATACAAATGTTTTCATGTTTGCCCGCGTGGCACCATATACCACTTACGCCAGAGCACGACAAAAACCCAAAAACAAAAAGCAGATCAAGTCTGAGCTACCTCACGTATCGCCTGCTCTATGATACCACGGTCACTTGCGTAGCACACGCCCCCCGCAACCGCGCCACACTGAACGGTGTACAGATCCTTCATCATTTTTCCCGCCTGCCCTGCCTGGCTACCTAGCCTAACACCCACGAATGCTCAATCTGCGCAATGGGATTTTCATCCCCACGCACTGACGCTTGACACTGAGGGGTAGCAAAGCCGTGCCCCGTTTCTACGTGTGACTTATGTTCGCGGAACGAAGAGCTGTCTGCTTGATAGATGCCTTGGTCTCGATCTCCTCCACGCGTTGATAGGGCTCCTGTTGTTGTGCTCGAGGCTTCTGCTGTTGTTCCGGTGGCGGCTGCCGGTGCCTTCGCTTGCGCTCTTTGCTAGCACTAGAAGCCCGCACTCTCTAGAGCTCGATATGTTGATAGAACCGGCACTGTTGTCACGTACTGGTGCTGGTTGTTGTGCGACTTGTACACACGCTTTCCAACTCCCTACGTTTTGTGTGAACAATCGCAACAAGATCCTTCTAGAACGGCGTCTTTTTCGCCGCCTCCCCCCTCAATCCGTTTCTGCTATCGGGACAGCAAGCCGCTTGAATACCTCCGACAAAGCCATGGGATCGAACTCCTTCCTCTATTCCTAAGAACTGAAACACGCCACAAACCTCTGTATCGATGTCCCACAGAGCATGCCCGGTAAACAGCGAAACACCCTAGAAAAAAGCGGAGCACTCCGCCGTGCGAAACTTGCCCAAGTGATAACTGGGTTCCACCCTGGTACTAGACTCCCGCGTTTTTTTCCGGGAGGTACCCGAGGAAAGCTCCGTCCTGCTTGTTGTTGTACCTGTCGAAAAGGGCGGGTAAAAACATTTCAGCCAACTTCTTTCAATTTTTTTACTGGCCGCAACACACGCCCGAATAGTTCAACAACGCCACCCACCTAGACATGGCTGCCAAGAGCACACGAGGCTTCGCCGCCCTCCGCTTCAGAAGCGGGAGCATGCGAGCGATCGATGTTGATTTCTTCCGGGACACACGCTCTGCAGAACAACCGGTGTCGATTGGCCACGTCCAGGACACCGCGTGAACTGCCTCCTCCTGTCGCAGCAGGCGGATGACACCCTTCAGCCCCCGCACCATCTCGCGGTGGACTCTCATTGGACTGAATCTGCGAAAATACGATGTAGCCAAGTCCAGGGGTGTGCCGCTGAACCCTTCGTCTTCTTCTCCCTCATCACTGTCGCACGGGAACCGAACGCCCGGTGTCGCGTCCGCCCCGGCTTCGAGTAGCAAGCGAGCGAATCTGGGAGCATGAAAGCTTCCCAGATTGAATGTGCTCACCAGCGGTGTTTCTTGGAACACGAATTCGTCATGGGTTTCCGGGAGAGTACCGTGGTCCATATTGACGTAGGCACGCGTACCTGTGTTGGCATTTCCCCCCTGTCTCCGCAGCAGAAGGTAGACGCACGCCTCGCTACATCCCTCAATGGCGGCACACAGGGCCACGCCCTCCGTATCAACCACACCGGCATCGCACAGGAAGGTGACGATGTCCACGTGTTTGCGAGAAGCGGCCGTTGCGAGAGCCAGTGCGCCGTCGTCGCTTGTACAGCGGTCGGTTCCGTACCAATACACATGTTCGCGGACCCAGATGTCCATTGTAGACCGCCGTTCCTAGCGGGAGACTGCCGTACGCTGACAAGAGCGGGTTCGCGTTCGCCCGAAGGAGAACCCTGACCGCTTCGAGCCGCCCGTCCTTTGCCGCTTCGAATAGGGGTGTTGCTCCGTCGTCGAGCCTGCTGTCGACATTCGCGCCTGCGTCGATCAGCACCACCATTCCCTGGCAAAACCCTTTCGTCGCGGCCACGTGAAGTGGTGATTCCATGCCACCAGGCCTCGCTTCAAGGTCCGCTCCCGCCTCGATCAGGTCTTTGCTCACGGCCAGGTGTTTGTGATAAACCGCGTGGTGCAGAGCGGTATACCCGTCGCTGTCCGCTACCGAAACGCTGGCACCCTGCCGCAGAAGGTCTCTGACAACGCGCGAGCAACCAATGACGGATGCCACCATCAGCGGTGTCTGGTTCGTATCACCACAGCGTCGGTCGATGTCGGTCGTAGCAATGGTAGGATCGGCGGAACCGCTGGCTTTGCTCAGAGTTGATGGCATGTTGGGGGAGAGTGCCTGTTGACTCTTCGTTGAATCTCTATTGTTTTCTGTGAACAATCGCAACACATTTATGTTACCCTTTTCGGCAAGCTTCTGGTCGCTTGATTATTTAGAACGTCTGCCTGGCGCCCGGCCGCCGTAGCCGTGGCCTCAGCAGATGCCTTTTTACGGGTTGATCTGACTCGTTTCTCGTTGGCTGCGGCCGCGGCAACCTTCTTCTATAACCGTCTGCGCCCGGCAGCTGCACACTCCTTCTCCTTTTGTACCTTTTCCGTGGATTCAACAGCTTGGTTAGCCTTCAGCATGACTTTTTTCCTTGGTGGCGATGTCCGCGGATTCTCTCGCTGCCTCCATTGCCTCCAGCGTTTAAGGGATGTTTTCTTTCAAAAATTGTCAGCATCGTTCCTCGTTTTTTCTTGTTTTCTTGCGTGTGTTTGCCGGCTTTGTCTGTGTGCTAGAAAAATAAGCACATATGTGTTTCTTGTACTCAGCTTTCATCTGTATCGTGATCAAGTTGTTGCCCGCGATCGCGACGAGCTTTTTCCCGACGTTCGTTTTGAACTTGATGTGGTGCAGAGAAGCTGACGTTTGTGGGTGCGAAGAAAAATGACCCAGGAGTTGGGAGCAAGACATTTCTCTTTTGTCTTTTGTCTGGTAGCATTTGGCCGATCCCTATAGGTCATTTCCTTGATTGCGGCGGTTACACCATGGCAACAAAAACGTCGTGTGAGTTAAACCCTTAAACCGAACCGCAACGATGTGTTTTCCTCAACCCGCCTCGCGTTTTGCGCTCGCGCCTCGTGTCACAGCAGGGCGCGTCGCCCCGAGGGCGCAGAAGCAGCTTTCACCCCGGATGTCGGGCACTTCCGCCACCTGTCCTTCGTGAACTCCACGTCGACCCCGCAGGTACCACTTCAGCGACAGTACCAGCAACAAGCCACAGGTCTGTGTATACATTGCAGAGCAGCACCAAGCAGCAGCGGCAGAAACGCCACCCTGGGGTACCCAGAATGTAAAAAAATCTGAACCCCCCCCTCACGTAACTGAACAGGCGCGTCAGATCGTCAGAGCTGTAACAGCAGCAGCTGGAGCAGGAGGAGCCGACGGGAGCGCCAGCAGCAGGAGCACCAGGTGTGTGTATGCGGTGTCTCTGTTTTGGCGCTTGCACGTTTGTTTTTGGGGCGATTGTGTGGCGTGGCGGAGAAGCCGCGCATGTGAGATGACGAGATAGCTTATATCAGCCACTAGCTGTCACCGGAACAGGTAAAGTTGAGAGATACTTTTGTCCCCCCTGGGGAGTAGGCGGCTTCCATGCGCACATCTATTTATTTTTTGGGTTATCTGAGTCGCTTCATTTTTCGTGTGTGTGACGCGAACAGTATTTTCCGAAATCCCCTTCCCCCCCGCTTTATCCGATGATTCCTAAGGTTCGCGCCGGTAGACCACAAGACTTCCCTAAATCGCCAGACAAGTACAGATGGCGCCCGCACTTAAGAACGTCAAATTTGGCGTGAGGCTCGTTTCTTATTTGTCGGGGGGGCATCTTTATATAGGAGTTAGTATACAGGTGCTTATCCGGGTATCTCAAGTGAGCCCCATGTTCTTAACAGGTGTGTTCTTAAGTGCGGGCGCCATCTGTACCCTCATGTGGGTCACATCAAATGTATTTATCATATCAACGTTTGTTCTTGGGGCGGGTGTCCCTAGTTTCGTCTTCAAACAGTTTCAAGGGGAGCCGACAAAGCGGGTGTCAAGATCCCAATCGTCGACTTTTGCTTTCGGCACGTTTTGTTTCTTCCTGCTCGGGACTGTCCCTCTCATTGTTTGCCGAAGGTGCAGCTTCACTCAGAATGCGAACCTCTTCTCTCAGCTGTTCTACGTCGGCCCTCAAGCTGTTTGTAGTCAAAAGGCGTTCGTCTACAGCAACCCTCAACAAACGTGTAGTCCGCTCCAGATCGGTCTTGACTAGAGCCATCGATAGTACGGTATTTTTCCCTGGATTCTCCGCGCACCCGTGTCAAGTTGAGAGAAATAGCAGCGATCTCATCCTCTAGACTACGTAGCTCAGCCCGCTAAGAGGCCTTTTCAGACTCGCACATTTCGAGGGACTGCCCGCATGCCAGCAACTGAGCTTCCAAACGTTCAATCTTTTGCTTCATGCTGGAGATTCGGATATCAGAATGGATCCATTCCATGCAAATTGAGCAACATCGGCTCCATACGATCTAAGAAATTTTAACATGGTTGGGTGATTCAAATGCTGCTGAACCGGAGCAGTTGTCGTTTTCCGGATTCACACCCTCTTCTTAATAAGCTCGAGATCCGCCAACTTGCACAACTATTCCCCGGGCTTGTACGTCGTGCGTTTTCTTTCTGACCCCAAACGTCAAGGATAACGTAACTAGAAGAGGGGGCGGGGCCCCATCCGCTACCTCTTCTCGCTCCAACGACGGCGACGACGAGCGCGAAGACGGCGCGATCGCGGTCACGGTCAAGACGGATGTCAAGACGGAGGCCAAGATGCAGGAGCTCCGGGAGCCTCCGGAGCCGCTGAAGATGAAGAAGAGGGCGAGGTTGATGAAGATGGAGACGGAGGAGAAAGCAGGGGATCCGCCGATTGGGTTGCTTGGAGTTGGTGGCCAGCGGATCCGGCGTGCTTGATTCTGTGACATTTGAAAATTTGACTATGGGATGTGAGAGTTTTGCGCTGTCGGGTTATTATTGTTTGTCTTGCCACGGATGCACTTCTCAGATGATTCGAATGTTGTAATCATGACTTCGGTTCACACCAAAATAATAATTGGACTTACGTCGCCTTCAGATACATCTTTAAGAAATGACGTCCTGATCGTAACAATATATTTAGCGTGTGCCGGGTTGTGATAACCACGAGAAACAGCCAGCCGTTCCTGTGCCTGACATGACTTGAAATTAGAGCCTATTCCGCACCTTGACAACTTTTTTTGACCATTTGAATCTCTTGACAAAGGCGGTGATGGTGATTTTCAACGTGGCACCATTCGAAAGGTCTGGTTGGGAGCTCTCTTTTCGTGTCGCGGAGAAAGGACATTTGGCCCGGGGTGTGTGGTACCTCACGTCAAATATCGCCAAAGTTCTTGCCGGCGCAGATGGAAGGGCCGTATAGTTCACTTATCGTTAACATGCATTCGATATTTCAAAATACTCTTAGATGACACCAATGTTTATGGCGGCGGAATCTTGATCTTAGGCTGTTTCTTACAGAACCGGATTCTTGATCTGAAAAATCGATTTTTT